CTGTCTTCCCTCTGGCTCTACACACAGCCGTTATCTTCATTGGTTATTATATTTTCTAACAATTTGTCGAAGTGCTCTTCGAATTCGTCTATTCTACTTTCAAGTTTATTCAACATTCTTATGACTGTTTGTTTGAATTCTTTATCAGGCAAACTACTTTTGTCCATTTCACTAGAGGTTTTCTGTTTTTATTTCCTTGTTCCTTCATTTGGAGCATATTTTTCTGTCTCCCCATTTTGTTTGACTTTTAGTGTTTGTTCCTATGAGTTAGATGAAATAGCCATCTCTCCCAGTCTTGAAAAAGTGGCCTCTGTATAGACTATGTGCCGGATGGTTTAGCCAGGCTGGTTGTAGTTGGGGCGGGTGTGGGCGGAGCCTGTGGGCCATCCGTCCAATAGGAGTGGGTTCTGGGTGGGGCAGCTTGGTGTATGTGTGTGTGCAGTAGTTCTGTGTTTTGGCTCTCCACGGCCAGAACAGAGTTGGGACAGGGCAGTCTGATGTATGTGTGCTTCCTTGCCCTTCCCATTGAGGCGGGGCTGCCCAGCGTGTGCGTGGCATGCCCTGTTGCTTTGTCTGTTGCCCAAGCCAGGTCTGGGCGGGGCCGCCCCAAGTGCACTTGTGTCAGTGTCCTACTGGTTCCACACTTTCTCCAGTTGGGGCAGCCCCACATGCACTCACAGCCCGGTAGGTGTGCACAGCAGTGCCTAACCATACCCGCTGGATCAGTCGCTGAGTTGAGGGTCCCTGTGTGCTCATGTTGTGCTGCCTTCCTGTTCCTGGATCCAGCTCCAGGAGGGATGTCTGGGGGTCACTATAGCAGCCCTGCGGTTTGGCCAGAGCTCCTGGATAGATCCCCTGCCTGCCATCCTGGTGTGGGGAAAATGTCAACAGTGGTGCTCACCGGTGCTTTCGCAGTTGTCCAGCTCCCTGAGCACCTGGAGAGCCTCCCCAGGCCCCCAGCCTTCTCTGAGTGGGCCCTCTCTTCTGTCCGTCCTGCAGAAGCTGCTCAGTTGGCCCTCAGTTGTCTCACGGGAGGATGTTTGATGTGTCCGTAGGAGAGGGCTAGCTCAGCATCATCCTACAGCTCCATCTATCCAGAGTCCCAATCCAGTCAATTTTTGCATTTAGTCAGGGCTGGTTGCAATTTTCATACAACTCAAACTTTGACTTCCATTTTTTCAGGCATGGCCCTCTCAGGCTTTTGATTGGGAGCTTATAAAATTTTTGTTCCCTCAGCCCTTAAGACATTTCAGTAAAGGCCGCCAAAAGAGAGAACATCTAGTGATTATCACCTCAACTAGGTAGTATTCCCCTCCTCCCGATAAAATTTTAACTTATTCTTATGGTTCCACAGTTCTCAAATGACTTAAAATATGGATTTTTAAAACATTTATCTAGTTCTTATACTTGTTGCAGCAGGAGTACCAGCCTGCCGTGACCTACTCTCTACCCAGCGGCAGAAGTCACAGTAGCTTTTTAAAATTAATATTTAAATGGCATGCCGTTTTCCATTCTTCTACTTTCAGCCTTTTATACTCCTGTGTTATCGATCTGTAGCTTGAAAACAGCATCTAGTTATATTTTATTTTAAAGTCAGATTCACCAATCTTTGTCTTTTAACGGGATTATTTAGTTCCTTTATAATTAATGTTACTTCCGACATGTTTAGATTTGTATCTACCATTTTCTTTTTCCTATTCTATGTTTCTTTTCTCCCTTTCTTGCATTTTTATCATGATTATTTCATACCATTCCATTTCCCTTTACTTTTAAAAGTTACACACTTGATGTCTATCATTTCAGTTTTTGGTTCCTAGGAATTACATGTATCTTTAACTTAGCAAAGTCTTCATGTACTCAGTATCTTTTTAGAAAACTTTCCAGCCTTATCAAGATGTAATTAAGGTACAACAAACTACATATATTTAAAGTGTACGATTTGATGGGATTTTATATAGGTATACACATGTAAAGCCATCACAATAATCAGGATATTGAGCTTATTCATCACTCCTAAATTTTTAAATCGATGTCTTTACTGTTTTCCTGAATAATAAATACAAGGACATTAGAATACTTTAATTCTATTTATTCCTACCTTACTTATAGGCTCTTTTTTGGGGGTATAATTTCATATATTCTATATGTCTTTCCTATTAAAATTTGTTTTAATTGGTCTCAAAATTCTGTGACAGATTTCGGTCAACTTGTTTCCATTAAAAAGTAACGATTTTAAAAACGAATAACTAAAAGTGCAATACAGAAAAACCGAGCGGTCCACAAAACATTCTCCTTTTCTTCTGAAGGTTTTACAATGCATTCCAATCATTAACTGGTCTTTAACTCTTACATGTAAATGGCCGGTTGAGATGGTTCTGAGACCCTTTTTCCACCACTTAGCGAGTCGGGGCTGGCAGGAATTAGGGGCACTGTTCGTTTAGCCCTCTGAGCTTTCTGGGCAGACTCGGTCACGTTGCCAGCGGCAGCTGCCTTCTCGTCCACTGCTTTGAGGACACCCGCAGCTACTGTCTGTCTTGTGTCACGGATAGTCAGAGAAGCCCTCAACACACGCGCTTGCCAGGAACCACACCAACGAAGGCAGCATCACCCGGTTTCAAAAACTTCAGGCCATCTTCTGGCTTTTTCCCAGAACGATGATTGATGTTCTGCAGCTCTGCCAATTTGCAAGCGACGTGAGCCATGCGACAGACAGTCCAGCACAGGTGCGCATCTGGCACTGATTGGGCCTGGGTGCTTCAGGATAATCCCCTGAGCCTGAAGCCAGCCGCTTCCATCGGTGGGCCATTTTTGCTGTCGCCAGCCACATCGCCACAACAAACATCTTTGACAGACACATTCCTGACACTGAAGCCCACACTGTCCCCGGGAAGAGCTTCACTCAGCTTCACGGTGCATTCCGACAGGTGAGTTCAGCTGTAACGCTGACCGGAGGAAAGGTGGCCGCCACGCCAGGTGGCAGAGCAGCATTCTTCCAGCGGCCCACAGGGACAGCACCAGTGCCACCGATTTCGTAGGCATCCCAGAGGGGCAGGCGCGACGGTGTGCCAGTCGCACGAGCTGGCGCAGGATGCGATCCAGAGCTTCCAGCAGCCTGGTCCACTGGCACTGCCATCTTTATGGGTGACTTTCCACCCCTTGAGCCAAGGCATGTTAGCACTTGGCCCCAGCACGTTGTCACCATTCCAGCCAGAAATCGGCACCGATGCTACTGTCAGGGATGCAGCCAGTGTTCCCACTGTAGCTCCTGGCTTCCTTAATGACATCCTCGTGTGTTTTCTGGCTGTAGTGCGACTCGGTGGCATCCATTTTCACACCAACGGTTAGTTGTTTCGCACGGTGCGTGTACACCGGAGGGCAGCTCGTGGGACCGCCCGTTCCTGGAGCTGCCGCTTCAAAGCCGGCAGTGGCAGCGACAGTCAGGACAGCGCACTCGGCCCGAGACGGGCCTGCAATGGCGTTGTTGGTAGAGTCTCTGTGTCCGGGGGCACCGGTGATGGTCACATAGTACTTGCTGGTCTCGCATTCCCACGGGGGGCATCGGTGGTGAGACCATGCTCACGTTCGGCCTTCAGTTTGTCCACGACCCTGGCATACTCAAAGGAGCCCTTGCCCATCTCAGCAGCCCCTTCCCCATCTCAGCAGCCCCCTCCCCATCTCAGCAGCCCCTCCCCATCTCAGTAGCCCCCTGCTCACATTTTCCAATGGTTCTTTTGTCGACCCCACCCCGCCTGGAGATCAGATGGCCAGTAGCGGTGGATTTGTCCAAACCTACGTGTGTCATGATGACAATCTTGATACAAGGCTTTTCTTTTCCATTTTGGCTTAGGTTTAGGTTCATGACACCTGGCAAACCCGTTGTGAAAAAGCCATACTATTTTAAATATAACAATAATGGATATGACGTGAGGATTTTTTCCTAAGACATGAAAAAGACTGCCATCGATAATAATAAAGTAAAATTTCACATTTCAAATGGAAATTGGGTTGATCTCACTCTCAGAGAAGCACTTCATAGGTGTCCATATAGGAAAAAAAGTGTTTCTCTCTGAAATTGTCCCATGGCAGTCCGGGCCTTTCATTCACAGGCTTCATGGATTATTAGAGCAAAGGCGGGTGGGAGGTGGGGAATCGAGGAAGGCACAGCCCTCCCCCCTCATTATCGGTCTTTCACACCCCTGTAGAGCTATCTCCCCATGTCTGTCCCTAATCCGGGATTTGGAGAGGGGTTTTCTTTTCAAATTCTCTCTCTTTTCACAGAGAGTAAATCAGATGCATGGCCACCGTGTCCATCATAACATAATTGAAATAGAAACTCTTTCATAATAGTGGACATTTATTTTCACAAATCTTTCTAGTTATAAGATTGACAGTACTTAATGAACTGCCAAGCTAAACTTATTTTAAATAAATAATAAATGGGGAAGCCACAATGTGAATCCACGAGCCGAGAAAACCACTCGCTGTTTAAAGTATCTCGTCTCCCCAGGCTGCAGTGCAAAAAAGCTGGGAAGGGGCTTGATGAAGGGAAAATGAAAATTGTGATATGAAGAGGTCATCTGTCCCTAGAAACTTAGAAGGGATGACTGCAGAAGTTACACGAGTCCATCTGGAAAGGAGCACAGCACAGCCTGAAAGATGCAGAGATGCTTATTCATATCGCATCCTTATCTAACCTACCTGGTTAGCCAGGAGATGAATAGTGGGTAATTGTAAAATTAATCAAGTTGTGGCTTGAACTGAAGCTGCTATTCCGGATGATGCTGGTTTCCTAGAGCAAATCAACACAGTCCCTGGCACTTTAGTAAGCGCTATTGTCTGACAAATGCTCTTTTCTCTATCTCAATCAGCAGAGACTATCAGAAGCGGCTTGCTTTTAGCTAGCAGGAATAGAAGTCTGAATGTAGTGCCTCAGGGCTCTGTCTCTTCTCGGGCTGGCTGTCCCCATCTAGAGTGAATGGAACTTGATTGTTGTGACAATTATGGTGAACATCATGCTGGTCCGTTACACTGAAGACATTATTCTTACTGGACCTGGTGATCAAGAGGTAGTACGGATGCTTTATTAAAACACGTGTATGCCAGCATGTGGGAGATAAAACCTACGAAAACTCAAAAGCCTGACCCTCAACGATATTTCGAGGTGGTCTGGACCATGTGGGGCATTCCACGAGTGGATACCACCTACTACTCAGAAAGGGGTACGGCATTTGGTGGGGCTATTCGGATTCTATAGGCAACACATACTACATTTAATTGTGTCACGCCAATGCAGTCAGCGAGCAATCCGTAAGGTTGCCTGTTTACAGGGGGCCTCAGGCTCTGCAGCAGATCCAGGATACTTGACCTTTATCACACAGATCCCACATGCATAGAGCCTTTGACACACTGAGAGGCAACACAGAGTCTCCGGCAAGTCCCAAGAGGACAAACATCCAGTGGACCCCTAAAGTCTTGAAGCGAATCATGCCTTCTGCCACAAAAGAAGTATTTTTCCTTTCGGTCAATAGCTTCTGGCTTCCTCCTGGGCTGTGATAAATGTCTGACCATGGGGCAGCAAGGAACAATGTAACTTCAGTTGCCCATGATAAATCGGGTGCTAACTGATCATCTTCTGCCAGTGGAATGTTTGAGACCAGACTCAAACAGGTCTGGAAGGTACAGCCAACTTGCTTGAGCAGGTGGCTCACATCTCTGTGGCCCCTACTGCCGCATGACAGCCTTTCCTTTGACTCACTCACACCTGTCACCTCATAGGGAGTGTTCTCTATAACTAGGTTTATCGGTCAAGGTCTCAGAAGGAAGCAAATGTAGACTCAATGGCTTGAACTGAGGAGAGTATAATGAGGTGATTTTTTTTTTAACAGAGGTGAAAGCAAGCCTAAGAGAATTTTAGTAATGAGTGGTGAGGCTCCCAGAGACTGGCATCAGTCAATATGATCGCAGCAGCCACTGTTATGTATCCGACCTGCCCAGAGCAGAGACTAACGCTGAGTCCCCAGTAAGATAGCATTGCCTGGGGGTGGGGGTGGAGGACCAGCCGCCCACCTGATGGCAGACCGATGAAACCAGAACATTTGTATCTGGAAGGGGCAGGAATTTGTCCTCCCTTGAATAGGCACTTATTATAACTGACGTTTCTGAGAGCATTCCCACCCATAGGCTTACTGCCTCTTATTCACTTTTACAGTATCTCACACAAGAGTGCTCTGACCAAGGAAATCTCTGTAAGACAAAAGACGGGGCAGCGTGCTCATGCTGAGTGAGGGACTGCACCAATCCTACCGTGTACCCCATCGCCCTGAAACACCTATCTGACGGGATGGCGAGATGGCCGGTCTATTGAAGACTCAGTTGCTGCATTAGTTGGGTAAAAATACACTGAAAGGTGTAGGTTCTGTCTTACAGGATGAGGTACATATTTTTGAACTAGTGGCCATTGCATGGTGCTGTTTCTCCTAAAGGCAGAATCCATGGGCGCAGGAATTAAGAGGTGGAAGTGGAAGGGATTTTTGTCAATTTCACACCTCATAATCCCCTTAAGGTGTTTCTTCCCATCTCCACCGCGTTGAGATCTGCTGGTCCCCCAAAGTAGGACTTCTTCCACCAGAGTCACGACATCGGTTCCCTCAAATTGCAAATCGAGATTGCCACGCGGCCATGTAGGGCTTTTTATGCCGCGGGACCCAATAACTGATGGAACTTTGGGTCTGTTTCGAGGAGTTTTTTTTTTTTTTAAGGAGCTTTTTCATCTGAATCTCTTAGGCAGGGAAGGGGGGAGGGTCAAAGGTTCTTTCGGAGTCGAGTCTTTTGTTTCTTAACGGTCAGCTTAAAATCAATATCCCCGCCAACAATCGAGTGCATTGGGAAGTCAAAGAGGTGTTAATGCTTTTCTTCCTGCCGAACCAAACGCAGGGCAGGTGCGAGTCAGGTTTCGCCTCTGGGAGTCCCGAGGCTCTGGGGCCAGCCCTTTTGACGTGACCGCTCAGAGATAGGGGTGCGGGCAACCGCCAGGGGACAGTTTGGTGCTGCGCTCTCGCTCTCATTAGGTCGCGGGACTCCTCCGCGCGTTCTCTCGTGGCCCCGGCGACTCCCTCTATGTCCCTGTCACCTTTCAAGCTGCTGCCCCAATGCTTCTGGGGCTCAGAAGTGAGTCTATCAGTGAGTAAGTCTGTGTGTGGGTCCTTTAAGATGAGCACCCTCCATCTCTCTCAACTACAATCTCTGCTGGATTTCACAAGCAGAAGTTGTGGGCACTTCTTTTCTCTGCACTGGAACCCTTGGCTGATAGCCTATTGTGGTGCTGGGACCCATTGCTTTTCTG